AGGAGTTTTCCTTTGGGGCTGTATTTATTCATCCCTCCAAGCCTCAGAGGTAGGAGCTCAGTAACTGGGAGTGACACAATCACTCTGTGTTTCAGTGATGCTGTGGGGTTCAACTGAGAAGGGTTGGGGTTTAAAAAAGGCTACAGTAAAGACAACCGTATGAACAGGGAACCAAAAAGGCCCATTTTGCTACCCAGCCCTGGATCCTTAGACATAAAAGTGTAAGCAACGAGCATAAAAGAGCCTGCATATGAAGCTAAGACAACTGTGGCAGAAATGTGAGAACAGCACCTCTACCAAGACTAAAGATAACGCCCACATCTGGACTGGGCATGGAATGTCAATAAACAAGCCCGTCTGAGACCCTAAAGCTCGCCAATCAAAACCATTGGCAGGGGAAGGGAGGCCACACACAACTGTCTATGATGATGAGCCAGGATAAAGGAGGAAGGCGGTCTGTGAAAAGGTGCCATGAGCCAGAAGAGGATAGGAGAAGGAAGGAAGGAAGGAAGGAAGGAAGGAAGGAAGGAAGGAAGGAAGGAAGGAAGGAAGGAAGGTAGGAAGGAAGGAAGGAAGAGAGGGAGGGAGGGAGGGAGGAAGAAAGGAAGGGAGGAAGAAAGAAAGAGGAAGAAACAGAAAGAAATAAAGGAAGAAATATTTTGCCTAATTATGTCCCAGACATTCAAGTATTCTTGGGCTGTTTTGATGCTAAGAAACAAATGGATTGCTTTAAAGCCCACAACAGCAAAGTTCTGGATTTTACCCAACCTCCCTTTGCTCAAGGAAAACGTCTTTGTCAACTCCATCTCTCAGCGGGCTGTTGACTGTCACTCTTGCCTTCTTATGAAACATTTTCTCTGGGTTTCTTTCACTTTGGCTGTTCTGCTCCAGGGTGGCTAAAGGGGAACAATCTGAGAAGGATTGGAAAGGGAGGCTAAGCCCAGACTGGGGGGTCTTGAGCACTGGGCTACAAAGATTCTAGTTTCACAAAACCTCATGCGACCATAAGAGTTAGAGTTGGAAGCAACATTGGAAACAACGTTGTTGTTATTCAGTCACGTTCGACTCTTTGTGACCCCATTTGGAGTTTTCTTGCAAAAGATACTGAAGAGGTTTACCATTTCCCTCTCCAGCTCATTTGACAGATGAGGAAACTGAGGCAAACAGAGTGAAGTGACTTGTCCAGCATCACACAGCTATTAAGTGTCTGAGGCCAGATTTGAACTCAGGTTCTCCTCACCCCAGACCCAGCATGACACCTAGGTGCCCAGCGTTGGAGATGCTTGATCCTATGCCCTCATTTTGATTCCTTGTGATCATATCTTTCGGTGTCACATGGCAGCCGATTGTGAATAGAATGTCAGCTCCTTGAGGACAGGGACTGTTTTACTGTTGTCTTTGTATCTCCAAGGTCTGATTGTAAACTTCAATCAAGGTGACTGACTTGTAAGCAGCTTCTATGTTTCACTTTCAGGAACACTACAGAAATTAAGTGTAAGACCTACAGTCCGGATAAATATAACAAAAAGATGCCCTAGCCATCCTTTTATCAGGTGAGAATGCCAATTTGATTACAGAATCAAAGGTATGACAAAGCCATGGATATTTCTATTGATCCATGAGGGAAGTCCTCATCTTCCCCTAGGCAGCGGTAGTTGTATTCCCAGAAAAGCAGCAGTCACTGAAGTGACATCACTTCACACCCTTCTATGTGAGGAGCTGAGGACAAAGGTGACAAACACACTGAAAAGAAGCAACTTCATGACTCTACAAGGCTACCAGTCCTTGAAGACCAGCAGAGAGCTACAGATATCTATCCGAGGAGAACTTTATGAGGACTCCCAATGACCAGCGCCTAGGAGTTGCTGCCTTTTTATCACATGTGATATCTGGATTTTAGCCCATTCTCTCCAAGATCCAGTCTGTTGAGGGGACTCTTTCTACCAACTGTTGTTATTATACCATCTCAGGAAATATCTTTTTATAAATTGCATGGCTATTGATAATGAGGGGGGTAGTAAAGGAGACACACCACTGGGGGCTCATGGGACTTAAAATTGGAAATTAACCCCAGTTCCTTAGGGTTACTCCTAATACCCTGAGTGGAGGAACATCCTGTCATCCTCTGGGGACTGAGACCATCAGTGTGGGATTAGAGTGAGAATTGGAAAGTAGCCCGGAAGGAGTGATACATAAAAGCAGAAGTTTTAAATTCCACAGTCCTTTTGACCCAGTGATACCACTTAGTTTAAATCCAAAGACATTGAAGAAAGAGGAAAATAACCCATATGTATAAAAATATCGATAGCTATTCTGTGGTTAATGGCCAAGAAGTGGAGACTAATGGAGTGCCTATCAATTGGGGAATAACTAAACAAATTATGGTATATTAGTATAATGGAATACAATCGTTCTGTTAGAAATCACAACAGGGATGGTACAGAGAAGCCTAGGAAGATTCACTCATATGAACTGATGCAAAGCAGTGAGCAGAACCAGGAAAGCAACCTAACGATAACAATATAAAGAAAGACTTGAGAACTTCATATAATGTAATGACCAACTACCATTTCGATGACAAATGACACATGGACCCACCTCCTGAGAGAGAGGTGAGGGACTCAAGAAGAAATATTTTTACTTGACTATTCATGTTTGTTACAAAAGTTTTGCTTTTCTTCTCTTCCCTGAAATGAGAGGGAGAGAAAATAAATGATTGTTAATTGAAAAAAATAAGATTAAAAAAAAAACCCTAGAGTTATAGAACATGATTGCAAAGACCTACACTACTTGAGAAAGAGGAATTTTCTTCTTTAATTCATTTTTCTGCCTTATATTTTACATGCTGCTATAACTTTCGTTTAGGAAATTGTAGCTCCATTAAACGTACTAAATTACCTCCTGACAATTATTCCCAAGACTCTAAAGTCCGAGGTCTGTTTAACTATGTAAACTACGGCAGCAGAAATGTTGCTTGTAACTTCCCTAAGGGGAGGGAAAACCATTTTTAAGCAATCCGGTTTTAATAAATTTTGTCATAAAATCCTCATCAATTTGCTGAACTGAAATCTACTCCAATTCCCTCTAGGAGAAAGGTTACAAAGGGGAAGTTCGGGGAAGTAGAACCCCAAGCCCTAGAGGAAAGGGTGTGTCCCCTTTTGCTCAGCAGACCTCTGACTAAGGAGAGTAGCCCTATCCTGCCTAACAGTCTGGGCAGGGACAAACGCAGCAGGGGGTGGAGGGGGAAACTACAAGATGTAAAGGCTAGTGAGTTGAATCAAGCTGACCAGGAGTTTGGAACTCAATAGACCCACTCCAGTCCTAAACAGCTCCTTCATTCCAAATTCCAGGTGTGAGTAAACCAGGAAAACACAAGGTGAGCTCAGAGGCTGAGAGAAAGTAGAACCAAAGCAACAGATTCCCCTCATTTTGTGATGCAATAGAAGGCATAGGTAGTTGAGGGGACAGTGATAATAACAAGCATTTATTTAAAATTTGTTATTTAAAATTTATTTTATAAAGTTATTTAAAATTTGCAAAATGCTTTACAAATATTAAATCTCATTGTATACTCACAACTACCATGGGAGATAATTGCTATTATCATCCCCATTTTTACAGTGAGGAAACTGAGGCAAATAGAAGTTAATTGCCTTGCTGAAGATCACACAACTAAAAAGTAACTGAGGCTGGTTCAAACTCAGGTCTTCCTAATTGCAGGCTGATGCTCTATCCATTGTGCCATCGATCTGCCTTTCAGGAAGGAAGCTTATTTCAATACCCTTTGGATGGCAGTGAAAAGGTTAGGAGAGTCTTGGAAAGACGAGTCAGAACAGAAGAAGGAGGAATAGAAAGAGAATGGAAATAAAATCACTGCCAGCCATAACTCATCTCTTCCTATTTCTGAACTTTTCCATGGTTTTCCTAACTTTGAGGATAATCTCTTACGTTCTGTTCTTTAGCCTAGATCTAGTCTCTTTTATTTTGTCATGAATATAAACTTCAAAAGGCAAATCATAGAATTAGCTTGCCCCACAACCACACTGAATGTCAATTAAGCAGAAATGCTCTGAAACTCTCACCTTCATCTCTGTTGAGATCTCGCCATTAAAAAGGAAAGTGCTTACAGAGATCATTTGTATTCCATACCAGCTAGAAATGGCAAATTAGTACAAACCAAATTAAGTTAAAACTGATATTGTTATAGAGGGCAAGAAAATAAAAAGATGATGTAAGACCAGGATGGTACAAGGTTAAATAACCAGTTCCCTTGAGTGAGGCACCAGGAATCCACCTGTTATTGTGGGATAAGACCCAGTGAGTCATTCCAAACTATTCTGGAATTTTAGACATTGCACTGGAAGAGCACACAACTGTTCTGGTTATCCAGTCTCTTTCTGCGGGCTGCCTTGCACAGTCAAGCACCGTACATGTATCCTTCCTGCTCATTTCCCCACATGGGCTGTGAGTTCCTCCACCTGCAGGCTTCCCTGTAGGACTCCACACAGGGCTCAGTCCAGCTCCATGTCTCTATCCATGGAAGGCACTCGAGGACAGCATAAAGAGGGAGCAAAGTTCAGGTATCACTCCACACAAGTCTTTATATCCTTCCCCCAACCTCCCTCCTTCTCAAAATCACTTTATATTTATTTAATTGTGTGAACATTGTATCACTCTGGTAGAATGGAAGCTCTTTGAGGGCAAGAACAGTATCATTTATCTGTTTTTCTAGTTACATCACTAGAACCCAGCCCAGTGCCTTGTATATGGCAGACACTTTAAAAAAAATTGTAGAATTGGAACGATAGTGAAATTTTTTTAAAGCTGTATTGATGATTGACTTAGATTTCCATATGCTTTGAATCTAAGCCAAGACTAGCAGAAAGATTCACCCTCTTCCCAAGTATGCCTCATCAGCCAAAAGCTTGTATGAGGCCTCCCCATCCACTCCCAAGTTTACCCTGCAGACACCTCCTGGGGCGCAAAAAGTGATAACTCACCTGAGAGGTCTCCTTGGGATGGTTTTCATGGAGGTTGTTATCCTGACGCTGATCCTCACCCACAAGGAGGTGACTACTACAGGTCACACACAACACGCAGAGACTTGGCCTTCAGGGAGTTTTGTCCCAAAGAAGAAAATAAACATAGAAAACACTGTGCACCTAAGTGAAATGTTTAGGAAAGCCTGGAGGCAGCCACAGGTGCCCTTCTCACTTCAGGTGCTGAAGGCATAGAGGTATTCACAGGTCACCAAGAGATAACCCCCTACTCTGTGGTCACTTCCAGATAGGACCCTGCATCTTTGTGAAACCTCATTATCCCCACATGGTCAGGGCCAGTCCTACCTAGAGAAAATGCAAGCTGTGCACTTCCCCATGAGAGGCCTACAACCCCCAAGATGGCAGGCTGAATGAAGCACTGGGCTTACAACGCTTGGCTGTGTGTTGTACCTGTGACCCGTGCCGAGTCTTCTCTTGTCTTGGATCTCAGTTTCTTATCTGCTGACTGGGGGTGTCGGACCAGAGCAGCCATATCAGACTCAAACAGAAACAGGGGCCACTCAACAGCGTAGCAGGGTCCTTATGGGCTGCATATTATATTAAAATCTGGTTCTGACCACTCTTGGGAATGTTTCCAGGGCAATGTGGTTGGGGCAGCATGTTGGGCGCAGGAGCTGCCTCTAAGTTCCTTTCTAGACTCCAAGAGGCATTTACCCACAAAGTCCCCAAACTTACAACTAAATAGTAGTGCCTGGCATTGCTATGGCGAGTAATTCTCTGTAACCCTCCCCAGGCCTACAGACCCCAACCCCAGAAGAGGTCGCATAGGCCAGGCAGAGGTCTGAGTGTTGGTGGCAGGCGGTAAGGTGGTTTTACTCACGCTGTCATCCTAACTCCTACCGCCACCCACCCACCCATTTCTGTCCTCCTCCGGATTTTGTCCCCCATAAATCGCACCTCCTTTAGCCTTCCCTCAATGGAAGATTCCGGCTGCTTGGCCAGCATGGGAGTCATGTCAGGAAAGCATCATTGAGTCAGCCCCAAACTTCATCTAGGCCAGGGTCTGTCTCCCAGAGTGGTACCACACGGCAAAATTTCAGGTATGACTGAGAACAGCTACGCACACCCTGAGATCACCCCTCATTACAGAAAACGCCCTCAGTGGTGTCACAGGAGTCATCACCGCCAGCCCCACCCTTGGCAGAGCCCTCCTTATCTGCTCTGTATGCTAGGACAGGCTCCTCCCTTCCTTCCTCCAACAGCCTAGAAGGTGGACTGCTGACTGCTCAGGCTCAAAGGGAAGGGGCAGCACTCCTTCGGAGCCCCCAGAGAGTCCCCAGAGGCCTTTGCAGAACATACTCATTGGTGATCTCAGATGGTCCTCACCACCACCCGATGGGGAAAGTGCCAGGCTCACAGAGCGGACCGGGAGAGGGACAGCTTTGATCACGTCCAAGGCAGGAAGACCAAACTCCAACTCAGCACCTCTTCCTACGATACTGAGCTGTGAAGTAAATTCACTTACAGATATACTCTTTGGTACAGGAGGAAGGTCGAGAGCTTAACTGTGGTGAGACTAGAAAAGGAGGGGAGAGAGCTTGGCAAGACCCAGGCTGTGCAGTGAAATCCTGAACAGGATTTTAGAGAATAACAATCATCACTGGCAAAAGTCATTCCAAACATCAGCTGACCGATTTCCTCCTGACAAGACTGGGAGGGACACACTGAAGGCATTATTTTATAAAATGAGGAAGCCGAGACTCAGTAACTAAATGACATGCAGGGGGAAGGGAGTGTCACTCAGGTGTCTGTGTCCAGAGTCCGATTTAATCCAGGGTCCAGCACTCTATCCACCCGGCCATGCAGGCTGCCTCCAAGAACCTTCCACCACAATTCCTGAAACCCCTAACAAGTACAGTCACGACACACACTCCAATATCTACCCAAAATGCTCAAGAGGAGTGGGAGAGGAGGGGCACTCTCCCCTCATGCTGCTCTAACCTCTCAGAAATACCAATTGGGAGGCAACCTCCCACCTCCCACCTCTGCTTGTTTCCAGGTTTTACCTCTTTGGTTCACTAAGAGGGGTGGGGGCAAGAAGAAATGACCACCTGAAACACATCGCATTTGGACTTCCTCTGTCATCCCCCCCCCACACACACAAACACAGGTATTATGTCACAGGAACCTTGGTGGGGAGCTCCGGGCCTCTGCCCTGTTTCTACAGCAATGAAAACATGGGACAACTCCAGGGGAGCAGGGGTGAGGCCCCTCCCCAGTGACTGCTTATTGACCCCACGCCCTCCAGCCTGATGTTTGGAAAGTGATTGGTAACTCGTGAGAATTCCGGCAGCCTGCAGGGCCAAGCCCCCGCCGAGGATGGCCCTGCCCTTCACTTTCCATTATCATCAGTTCGCAGCCTCAGCCGTATCCGGGGCAGACCATTCCTAGGCCAGAGGAAGAGAAGCCTCGGAATCTCCTCCTTTGAAAACAGTGCGAAGAACTGTGGCCTCCAACACCTCGCTGTCTCTCGTGTTCCCCTGTGAGGCAAACCCAGGGTTGGGGGTGCAGGGGGTGTGGGCAGGGAGGGCTTCATCTCTCCCGGCTATTTGAGCAGAACTGCAGATTCTTACAGGCTCCTGCAGAGATGCCTCTCACATTCTGATTCTCTAACCAAAAACCTCATAGAGAAACTAACCCACCTCAATTCCGATCAATGACCATTGAAGACGCCCCTCTGTGGGAAGGAAAAAGTGAGGAGGCATATTTTTTCCCCATTAGCAAGACGTGTTCCAGACCAGTAACTGGTTCTGAGGGCAGCCCGTTTCCTAAAGCCCTAAAAAACACTTCGCCAAGGGGCAGGACACCTACTTGGTAAAGAAACCACCGCCAGCTGCTTCGCTTTCATTCAGAACTGCCCTGGTCTTCCGAGACAAAGCTGGTACCACACCATCCCCCTAAGTTTACACCCATATATACCCATATAGTCACCTATTTATTCATACCTATATGTGGAGGTAAGCACATTTGCTTTTTTAAACACCATAAAGTGGGGAAAGAGCTGGCCCCCTGCACACTCACAATGATCATTGACAAAGGACTTCCCCCGCCCAGGTTCCTAAGAGTAGACTGCTGCTCTCAAAGATTTCTCTTCGGTGGGAAGTACTTTGGATTGAAAGGGATACTTGTAGCAGCCTTCCTTGTGGTAGCAAGAAAAACAATTGGAAACAAATCTCCACTAACTTGAGAATGGCTGATAAAGAAATTGGGACCATCACGAAAGAGGAACCCCTGGCCAAAGCGATGCAGGGGAAGACTGTGAACTGAGGAGGGCAGCGAGAACCACTGAGCGACCTCCAGGACAAGGTCAAGGAAAACATCAGAAGAAGCAGATCTCAGCTTGAAGCCTCCAGGCAGCAGGAGCGGAAGAAGGCCCAGGCGGCCAGACCCGTCCAGTCCGGTTTGTTCTGCTTCTGTGTCCTCCTTTGTTAGGAGGAATGACTGGGGGGCTGTGGGAAATAAAAGTGGATTTTCTTCTCAGGATCCACCAAGAAAGTGCAACAAACAGCCTTTCGGGATGAATCCTAATTGGCCGGCAGCCGCAGAGATCACGCAGCTGTTGGCGGTCAGCATGGATTAATATATTGAGATTTAGGCAAGGCAGGCTTCATGCAAACATTTCCACAGATTCCGTTCTCACACAGCCTGTTGCTGTTTTCAGGCTGGGCACCCACATAGGTATCAGCTCTTTTCCTTCAACCCTACCCCCCAAAATACGGCTAGCCACATTTGTTTTGGTGAAGGTGCCTTGTAAAACTTAACACACCCCATCAATGTGTTCATAGTACCCATACTGCCAAAGCTCCCCAGAGCACCCCATCCTCACTGCCTCTCCTTCCTTCCTGCAAAGTTGTCTAGGGTTGGGTCCCATCCTGTCCTTGATGCCTCCTCCAGGAAGCCTTACTTGATCATCCCTCAGGAGAGATCTCCCCTCTTTGGGCTCTGTTTGTATCTCATGGTGCTTCACATAATCATTGTGATTGGATTATATTTCCCATAATTGCCTAGTCTCTCCTATTAGATTCAAACTTCTTGAAGACAGGCCTTTGTCTCAATGAGTGTCTTCCATACAAGGGTGACTCACAAATAATGACTTAAGTGAATAAATGACTGACTGAATGAAGCAGTCCTACCTGACCCCAGCAGAAGTGGTGCAGAAGATGCCTCTTTGGTTCAAAGGCAGGTGTGAGTACCTACACCAGCCAAGCCCATGGGCCAGTCTGGAACTATTTTTTCAGATTACCTTCGAGGGTTGCTGCGCCCGATCCATCACCCTGCCATTCAATTAGGAATGAGCCTCTCCCCACCTAGACTGGCTGATCCTCAGACAGACGAGAGACCCTCGGACCCTCATCCGACCTGAAGCCCCCAGCATGGCCCCCAAGGCCTTCTCCCACAAGGAGGGTTTTCTTTAGTGCTGAGGATGAGCTGCAAAGAAGGATGGTCAGGCAGCTGGGTCTCGACTTGATCAAGTAGGCAACGGGGAGCCACAGTGGGCTAGTCAGGATGTATGGGAGTGCAGCCATGAGAGCAGCGTTTGTGTTTGTCTGGCAGCGGTACAGGAAAGACTGAAGCAGCCAACCTGTAAGTTGAAGGAACTCCAGTATAACAATTTAACTTTTTGTTTGTGTCATCGTTGGCGGTGGCCAAGGGGGGAGCGGCAGTGCAGAGAGGGGACTCCTGGTATAGAAACTTCTCCCACAAAACGAGAAAAGGAGGGGGAAACTATACAGAGAAGCACACTAACACAGCCCAAAGGAGACACAACAGGACGTCCGTGTTCTATTTAATACGTAGCTTCTGAAAACTATAAAACAGAAGTCCGTGGTTACAGAAACAATTCTCTTTTTTGTTCCTCGAATGTTCATGCTAACCTTGGTCAATAACGGTTAAATTCCTAATAGAAAAGAGAATTTAATTTAAAAAAAGAGAAAAGGGACAAAAATGAGGCCTCCCTCCATCTCAGTGGAAATTCACCCGTGACCAGAGACTTCGGAAGGTGCCTCAGGGCACGGGAAGCAGCAGTAACTGGCCCTGGGCCACACACTTTGTGTCGGAGGTTACAAGGAGACCCCCAGCTTCCTGGCTCCACCCTTACCCCACACTAACTCTAAGCATAGGAATAAAGCTCCCAGACATTTAAAACTTCAGATCTCACACAGCATGGCTTTGTTGTGTTTTTTGTTTTTGTTTTTTTACTTTATACCAAAGGATGCCCACCACACTGGAACTTCACCCACTCGCCCTGGAGCATTGAAAACATGGGAACAAAGGTCTGGACGAATCAGGACATGGGATGGAAAAGGAATGGGTGCATCTGAGAGGTGTTTAAGGAAGAGATGACAGGATTTGGTGACCCTGAACTTAGAGGATTTTTTAAAAGGGTGAGGAGAACCCCCATGCTGACTACCAGGTTTCAATCACGGAAGAGAAATAAATGAAAGATACCCATGGGGAAAAAAAATAGAACATTTGAAAGGGGGCTTAGTTTCTTCATCAACTGAGCTGAGAGAATGAAGGCAAGAATTCATTAGCTAAGAGAGATTTCACCTGACATGGTGTGGAATCGCCAGACTTTTTCCTCAGGCCTCCCTACGCCACTCTGAGCTTGGCTCCCCCCCTCCTTCCTCTTTTCCTTCTAGCTCTCCCCCCATTTCCATTTCCCCCTCTATTTACCACGATGTGGTATTTTCTCACCCTGCTTTCTTTGGCCTGTCCAGGCTCCGTCTGTGTCCAGTTAGCTTCCTTTCTCCTCTACGGTTCACCCTGGGTCAGGTGTCTCACACGGCAAAGCATTAGTACTTCACATTTCAAAACCGGCTGCTCTCTAGGGCTGGTGTCACAAGAAATTACTGCCTATAACCCTCCAGGAGAACTTAACCCATTGACAACTGGCTCTTGAATGCTTCAGTTTTCCTAGAGGACAGGGAGATTCTCCTAGAGAGGTCAGGAAGTAGGTGTATCCCTCACAAGTTATCGCTCTAAAAAGTACAAGAGTTTCTTTTTTTTTTTTCCCCTTTCTAAATGGATTATTTAAAATCCTAGATCAGGGAAGGTGGACATAGGAAATAAAGCTGTAGCAAATCATTTTTTGCAAGCATGTAATCAGCCCTCATTTGTTACTTCAGAATATGTGTGTTTAAAAATCACACACGTTTGTCTTCATCCTTCTCCTTCAACCAGATCTTCATGGAATGTTAAAATTCAGAATATTTTCCAGCTGGACTTTCAGGGGAATTTTCCCCTCTTCTTCAAGGAAACTGAATTTGTTAAAGGCAAATTCACTTTCATAAAACTCTCCAGCCCAGACTCGGCCAGTAAGAACTGATATCTAAAAAATTTGAACTTTGTTTTGTTTTGAATGAAATGTTCTTAGACGATTGGGAAAGCATGTTCTTTCTGCCGGTCCTGGTGTATAATGCCAATTCCCAGTCCTCAAGTACTAGGACTAGCTGGACTGTAGGAGTCTCCAAGACCAAGCACCCTAGAAGGCATCCCAGAAGACATGCCCCCTAGGCCGAGTTATCAAAGAAAGCTAGGGGTTCCAAGAGGGAGGCATGAGGAAGGATGGCCTGGGTGGGATCAGAGGCAGGAGAAAGGATGCTGGGCTCAGGAAACAGCAAGAGTGCAGTCCAGCTGCAGACTGTGTGAAAGGGAGGGACGCTGGAACCAGACTGCAGAAGCCTCTAAATGCTGGAGGGAGGCCATATGGGAAGGGCCTTCATACTCGGGGTACTTAGTGATTCCAAGGGTTTGGGGACATCTTTGAGTACATATGGTTGCTCATTCCACGGTTGGTTTTCCTCCTTTAAATATAGCTTTCCTCTGGGATATTGTGAATTGCATGCTTACAAGAGGGAAGTCAATCTCAGTAGGGCATGGACCACCTCATCTGTTTTACAGGATTTCCTAGATGAGACTAAAAGCCAGGAGACCGCATAATCCCCCCGTTGTGTTCAGGCCCTTGGTGTCATGACACTGAAGAGAGCGGCACGTGATCTATACCATTTCTCATACACCAATGGTTGTTGGTGAATGATGCAGACCTTCTATGGCCACGGCTCTTACCATCACACTTTGGCTTGTCTATAGGTCATTCTAAGTCTTTTTTTAGCCAGAGAATTCTCTGTTAAGATGTTCCTTTGTGATAGGGACAATTGAAGAGCCAACTTCTCACCAAAGAGGGAGAGAACTGGCCAAAGAATGCCTCTCCCTTGGCTGAGTGGAGGAAGCGTGGTATCTGGCAGCAGGCCCGGGAGCCAGGAGGGGCCTGGGTGGACGCTGCATCTCCCACACTTGGGAGCAGGGACAAGTCCTTTCACTTAAATTTGTTTCCTTGTCTACAAAAGGAGGACAGCACTTCACTCCAGTATGAACCCCCATCTCAGGGCTACTAGGACATTCTAATAAGCAAATGTCTGTGAAGGTCTGGCAGACCTTCAAGCCCTACAGGTAAAGATGAGCCTGGGTTATCAGACCCTGGTCCGCCTTTCAGGATGGCAAGTTTCTGTTAGAAAAACCAGCACCCTTCTAGCGAGTACGTCAACTTCACTTAGGGAAAAAAACAAGAGATGAAGGGAGGGTGGGAAGGAGGACAGTCATTCATATCAAGTGCCTACTATGTGCCAGGCTCTGGGCTAAGCCAGCACAAGGAGCTGGAAACTAAAAGGAGAAGAAAACAGGCACACCAGAGCTAGGGATGAAAAGTGGGGTGGGGGAAGAGAGGGGAGGCCCAGCAGTGTGGCTTAGGAATTAGCCCCCGAGAATACACAGCACCCTGAGGACAGGCTGGGTGGGCTCAAAGTTCACCAGGGTCCAGGGCCCCGAGCGGGACAGCAGAACAGAGGATATTTGCAAAGTACAGAGAAAGGTGGTTAGTTTGCTTTAGTGATGTTATTTTACAATAAGCATTACATGAAAAGTGTTCTTACAGAAAATATATTGTTACAATACAGTTAGAATTATACTGAAAGTGTAGATGTGAGAGAAATAAGATTTAGAAGAAGCCCAATGAGGATGGTCTTTGCCAAGTTGTCGACCCAAGGGTCCTGTCTTCCAATACTTTTTCCTCCCACCTATACAAGTTTTATGTCAATAATCCCCCCTCCCCTACTCCCCAAGTAGAGATGCTCTCCTGCTCCTTTTGAGGGGCTAACATTGACAATTCTACAGTTCCCCAACTAGCCTGAAGGCCTTGGTTCTATTTGCCCAGCCTTGCCCAGCCCACCAGGCTAGCTCATTACATCTCTTAAGCCAAAGTGCTTTTTTGTGGAAACTGAAATGCAACACATTGTTCTTGGCAGACCCTTACGTATCGGTGCCTGGTTTCTGATAGCTCCCATCAGGGAGTGATCCCCCCAATCCAGAATTTTGTCAGAGATAAACTTACTGAATATTGACATTTCTCTCCTATCATAGAATTTTAATATTCCAAAAAGTCATTTCTTTCTTTGTGCTTACAAAGTTCCTTGAGTACTTTTACTACCCTGAAAGTTTAAAAAGTTAATGCTGGGAAGTTAACTTTTCTTCATTGTAATATGATTTGGTGGTGACCGGAAATACTGGGTTAATGAAATAATTATCAGGACAGTGGGAAAAAATCCCTTAGAGGAAAAAAAAAGTCATTTTATCAAGAACAAGGAGTAATTCCCCCCTAAAGTTCTTCCAATTTTGTTTCAAGAAATGTTCTATGAACCCATGTGAAAATGATTAAACTAGAACAGGAGAAAAGAAAACAAGTTTTGTAGCTGAACAGTTAATTTTTCAGGAACTCAGTCCTCAAGACGATTTTCCATGAAGTAACATTAACAGTAGTGACTCTAGCCACTATTTAAAATGATACAGCAGTGGGGTAGGAGCTAGGCTGCGCTAACAGAAGAATTCACCACGTCTTGCCTCCAGAGCCTCCCTGGTCAGCCCAGTCTGGGTGCAGGGATTTGGGGGTCACCAAGAGGGTACGAGAGGTCTTCCCAACACAACAGAACCTATTTCAGCTTTGCCTCAAGAGGCCCCAGGGAGATGAGCAAGAAAGATTAAACATATCCAAATCATTCCAGAGTCCTGAGTGGAGGGGGAAAAAGCAGTACCCTGCCCCCTGCTATGCTCAGACCGAAAGGTCATTTCAATGTTCATTTAGAGAACTCGGGCACTGTTACTTAGAGGCAAGTCAGTCATAGGTGGGTCTGCTGCCTTCAATAAAATGCTGATAATAAAGCCCCACAGTCAAAGGAGGCAAGACACTTGTGTACAATGTATCTTTTTCTAAAAAGTAGGTTTTTCTTCTAAGGGGCCAAGCTGCTGCAAAAGGGGGTGGGGGGAAGAGCAAGAATTACATGATGATAAAATTACAAAAGGTGAGATAAGGTGAAGACAAATTTGTTCACCTGGAAACAAACCAGGTCAGATTACAGGGCAGCTAAGCAGCTTAGGTGTTGCAGGTTGAACATTTAAATATTCAATTGTTTTATTAGTGACACGTGGATGACAGTTTCCCATTATGATCTAATAGTAAGTATTAGCCCTAGCACAGAAGGCAAAGTCTGTCCTTTCCCGGAAAGCCCCGATACCCCCTGGGATGTCTGCGGCTGCCCCTGGCCTAAGCCACAGTAACATTTCTCCTGTAACACACAGTACACCCTGGAGGGCAACGTTTCTGTTTCCCAACAGACTACTTCTGAGGGCCCTGTAGACAAGGGGCAGAAGCAGACTGGAAGGCTAACCCTCCTTCCCCAGTGACTTAGGTTGGGTTTATCGATATGAAAGTCAGCCACACGTCTATAAATAGACACCACCAAGTGGCTGTCACTAACGCAGGTACAAAGAACATCATAAAAATCCCCACTGGAAGCTGCTGCGATTTTAACTCTTGTTTATTTAAACCAAGGTTCCATAAAGTCAGCCGTTCCACTATCAAACAAAACAAAAACCACCCCGCTAAAGTGCATTTTTGGTCGCCTTCAGAACAAACAGTGGCTGGTTGTACAAATCAAGTTTCTTTACACACAGAATTAACAGTGAGGTTTTCTAAACACATGGCAGTTAGAAGTCATTGCTGGTCGGTAGAAAAGGATGACTTTTTTTGGTTAAAAAAAACAACACCACATTTTCACATTGAAGTTAAGGGGTGTTTCTCCCCTTTCTGGTTTCCTAGAGCACCAGCAGTTTTGATAAAACAAAGTTCTGCTACAGCTTCTTTCAGATGCTTGTCCTCGAATGTTTGATCGTCAGATGTACTGTACCAACGAGAATTAGGCTTTTCCCCTTTCCGCTGTCCTGCCCACCTAACACTGTTTGTTCACTTTGTAAACAACGTAAGGCCGAGGGCTGCCCATAAAGCTTAGGTGCCTCCCCCAATACTGAAAAGGTAGACAAACCCCACACTCCCGACTCCCGTCTGCACAATCGTCTTTTCCCCCGTGGGCTAAGGGCCGGACACGGGCCAATACGTCTCCTTTCTTTTGTTCCCCCTGACCCAGATGCTTTTCTGCACAAGCCCCGTCTGCAGGCATGTGTTAAACACACAGAGACACGTCTTTTGGAAAAGGGGGTCAAGCAGATCTCTCCCGGGGCTGCGAGTGACAGTGAGTGCTCCCGACAGCAGTCCACCTCTTAAAGACAAAGGAGCGTCCCCGCGGCCCCTTGGGGAGGGGGATGCATAGCTCTTTCTAAGAAATGAGACCACCACCCACCACAACATGCTCCTCGTCAGGATAACTAATCCATGCGCCTGAAGAGGTCCCATCTCACACCGGAATGGGACCGGCCTCGGCAGCAGCCTAATTAACACAGCCGCGGATTCGGCTCAAATCCTGGCACTCCCCCCGGCCCAAAGCTGGCGAAACGCAGCCCCTCCCCCCCACCCCGTGAATAAATACGAGTTTGCGAGCCCCTCTTCACACTTCCATTCCAGGGCATTTAAGCCATACGGCAGGCAGGCGGGCGGGCGGGCGGACAGACAGGCACCGTCCATAGCTTTATTTCACCAGGGACTCGAGGTCAAACGCCTACAGCTGCTGTGTGCCCGCTGGTCAGTTCCCAGCCCGCGCCTCCCGGGGGGTCCCCGGCCCCGGCCCCGGCCCCGGCCCCCCTCCGCCGCCTCATCTCTTCTTCTTCTGCTGGCGCAGCATCTTCCTGCGCTTGAGGATCATCTCGTGCAGCTTCTCGAGGCCCTCGCGCAGCCCGTCGCCGATGATGGCGCAGGTGGGCTGCAGGTGCCAGGGCGTGGACGCGGCCAGCTCGCCCACGGCCAGCAGCCGCGCGATCTCGGCCGGCGGCAGCGAGTCGCGCAGGTCCTGCTTGTTGGCCACGAGCAGCACGGGCACGCCCTGGTTCTCGGCCAGCCGCGTGATGCGGTGCAGCTCCGTCTTGGCCTCGTCCATGCGCTCCACGTCCACCGAGTCCACGACGAACACGATGCCGTCCGTGCAGCGCGTGTACGACTTCCAGAGGGGCCGCAGCTTCTCCTGGCCGCCCACGTCCCAGAAGTGGAAGGTCACGGTCTTGGCGTTGCCCAGCGTCACGCGCACCTTCTCCGTGTTGAAGCCCTTCGTGGGCACCGTGTTCACGAACTCGTCGAACTGCAGCCGGTACAGCACCGTGGTCTTGCCGGCGCAGTCCAGGCCCAGGATCACGATGTGGAAGCACTGGAAGGGGGGCAGGCCGGCCAGCAGGCCGGGGCCGGGCTCCGACAGCCCATTGCCCATGACCGAGGCGGGCTGGGGGCCGCCCCCCGGCCGCCGCGTCGGCCTCGTCCGCCCGCTGCCGCGCCGAGCTGGGGGGCCAAGGACACACGTAGTCAGAGGGACGCCCCGCGGAGGGCGCCCCCCGCCGGCGGCTCAGCCGCGGTCCCACCGACCGAACCAAGAGACCAGCGCGGCCCCGAGCGCGCCCGCCTCGGCTCCCGAGGCCAAACTGAGCAGTCGGCCCCGGGAAGCCGGGCTCGGCCGCCGCGCCACGCCCCCACCCGCGCCCATTGGTCGCCGGGAGCGCCGAGGCCCCGCCTCCGCCGCGTCCCATTGGCCGCACTGCCCGCCCCCTCCCCCCCCC